ACGGTCTGTGATCAAACGCTTTTGAGTAGTCCAGGTAGATGACATCGACTCCTGCTCCATCATCCACAGCTTCAGTCCAGCTGATACGTGCAAGTAATAGGTTAGTATTACATGAACACTTTTGACGAAAGCCATCTTGCTCCGGGGCTATTAAGTTGTGGTTTTCCAGATACTGCATCAGCGCATCTGCGATGCTTGATTCCGTAACTTTGGATAGTACAATAACTAGGGTTATTGAACGATAGTTGGTAGAGTCAGTGCGGCTACCTCCCTTATGGATAGGAGTGATGACCGCTCGCTTCCAAACTGGTGGAATACGGTTCTCTTCTAGCCATCGTTGATAGAAAACAGCCAGTGGATCTGCTAGATCAATAGCTATCGCTTGCAAAGCCTTTGGTCGGATGTTGTCGATTCCAGGAAACTGTGGATACGCAAGGACAACAACTTCTTCAACACAGCTTACGCAGTGAAAGTGATGTTTTCTAAATCCGACAGCGGACTAATAGAAAAGAGGAGAAAATTTGGGCACGTTACCTGCTGAAAGTCTGGGAGTAATGAAGCAGTAGAAAATCCGCTGCTTCCATTGCTGATAGCGTGCATCCATCCGCAGTGACTAGTGTTGGAATCCCCCGCTTCACTTTTCGAAGGCTGTTAACGGGAAAGCACCAGGCGATAGTTTCACCCTTTTGGGGCTGTCAGTACTGCGTATTCCCTCAGTCCCCTGCAGGGAACCAGACCCATGGCCACTAGCAGATTGCGCCACGGGGACGGTGGCAGACCACCATCATTGTTTGTTAGCCATGCTAGCTGGATTTGCTCGGTTGATTGTCTGGCCGACTGACTAACGTATACCAACATTCATGGTCTTAAAGACAAACACAGCAAGCTGCAGGACACAAAGGAGTTTATGCATACGGTCTTCGACGACCAACACTAAAGTTGAGGTCGTATGGAATATCTAGTGGCGCTCACCAGTGGGCGTCAGCTTTTCTGGATGGACGGGAACAGTGAGTATGTGTGGAAAGTAGTCTGTCGTTTAGACAAGCTGTACTGGAGCCGCTGCTGTTCGCAGTCAACGTAAATGACTTGCCTGAGGAGCTTGTGGTGTCTTATTTGCTGATGACCGAAAGCTCTGGAATAATCTGCATGTCCACGCGGGTCCTGAGACACTTCAACCGAGACAGTATGGACTCTGGGAATGGTCTGTCTTATAATTGTTGCCTATAATCCGGGCAGAATCTTCAGTGCTGCGTATCGGCCTAACTGATCCCTCCACAAGTTATGTGCTGAATGGGAGTAAACTTCCCCAAGTGACTCATCAGGCTGATCTAGGTGTCGTTCACTGTTCTATTCTTCACTCTGGAGACAAATGAAAGAAGGTCGCTACCAGTGTTCCAGATGTCATATTTGATCCTTCGTTCTTTTAGGACCTTAATAGCCGATATATTGGCGAAACTCTGTTCAGTTTCCGTGCGGTCCCACTTAGAATATTGCGTTCAGGTCTGTCCATCATGTCTTGTCCGCGACGAAATGGCACTGGAAAGGGTGTTACGAGTCGGTACTAGATTGCTCGATGGGACAAATATACCCCGAGCGTCTACTTAATTTGAGAATACATTCAATGAGAATACATTCAATGCACTATCGAAGGATGGGAGGATACCTTATCCTAACCTACCGTATTTTTGTTAAGAGACTAACTACTTGACATCCATTTTTTGTGAACGAACTTTATTCTTTCTATTTTCTGCTTCTTGCCTGTTGTTTAAACGCTGCACTGTGCTAGCCCGATTGGTACACACACATCATTGTTAATGGACGCTCATTTCCGTGTCATCTTCAGCAGGGCCAGTTGCAAGAACACGTTCCATTGGTTTTTCTCCGCATCAGTTTTCTACTTGGTTATGTCAAAGGAATATTTAGTTGTCACACAATTATTGTACTAGTTTTCAACTTTTGGGTCTGCATTCCCTATTCCCGGTTGTTTCGTGACTTTTGTTTGAACGTTTCATTTCGTCATTCTGCTTAACCAGTGCCCGTCACTGTAAATGGTCGTTCGCTTTACGCTTGGAGTCCAATGATGGTATTTTTAAGGACGTACGCGATTCGCTCTTGAGTACCACGGTTGCTTATTCGCCGTTGCATTTGACGTTTACCTTCTGTTGGTTGGATCAGTCCAATGTAGTAGCTTCCCTTCATGTTGCCTTCAAAACTATACAAGAAAATGTGATTTCATAAATACAAGTCTCTTTCTGGCTCGTCTTTGGACTTCTTCTTGCGGTCGTGGGGTGAGGACGTCATTGGCGACACAAGAGCTTTAACATGGAAGATTGGCCTGGATTTCTCTTGGCTATTTAGTTCTGTTAAATTGTCTGGTCATTATGAGCATTCCATGAACCTAGGCAAACCGCAGTCCGACCGGATAACATTGGAAACTCGGCTATCGCGCCGAGTCTTCGAGCGCTGGTACTCTCTTCCAGAAAGTGTCGTCAGCGGACGTAGAGTTAAGGAGTTTTGGCGTCAATTAGACGCACTTTGGTGGCAACACGAACCATTTCCATTCTCCTGAACAACGCCCATTATCATACTTCGACTTACTTTTATGTACCTTCTATCATGCATTGGTAATCCCTTTCTTCAAAGACCTTCCTTATCCTGTACATTCGATTAAGCTTCCTATTTTTTGCTTACTCCACGTAACTGGCACAACAGGGACTGCTGGGGGAGGAAAAGTGGGCAGTATTTGGTTTACCAGGGTGTGGTTGGTGTGTTTCATTTTGAATCCAACAAGATTTTGGAGCCCCTTATCAACTCGTAGCTCAAAGGACCGCTCAAGAAAGACCACTCACGGGATTCTTCTATAGTTCAAGTCAAACCTGAAATTGAACTTGAACCTTTCAGGGTGGATATTAGGTTGTTGAAGATCAGTAAACGTTCAACCACTGCTACGCAGAGAAGTTACAGTGCTACACAAATTGTGGTCATTGACCGGACTAGTAACTTACCGGCGCCCCCAACGAAGGAAGCTCAACTAATCAGGGCCAGCTCACACCGCATGTACCAGTTCATGCGTGACTGCGGAGACAGTTACATAGGCAGAACCCATCTGACTCTGACTTTTAGAATAAAGGAACACGTGCCAAAACGGGTTAGACATGAAATGGACCAGCACCCCTGCCGTCTTGAATTTCCGTGCTCGCGTAGGCCGCCACCTACTGGTCACGCAGCACCGGATCCAGCATCCGAAGTTGTGTTGTCACCGTAATCCCCGCATCCTCTGTGTAGCTGAGGCTGTCATAATAAGCCGGCTCGATGTGAGCAATGACGGTTATTGGTCAGCTTAGGTCTAGCATGGAGGTAGAGGTGAACTCCCCACACCCACTTCGCACCTCATGCATCTCTGGTCGCACCCACTGTTAACTATAACTATGATTAGCTGTTATTGTTAATGGTATTGAGGTGACAATAATAATGTATACGTATACCAGTTTTCGTCTTCAAATTCGTATTTTGGCAGATTTGTAGTGTGGGCGTTGTTTGGGTAGTGTCTTATCATCTCTAGCACATTTTAGGGACTGCCAGTCTGCCAGCAGTATCAGTAGTTCTTTTTAGGTCTACACAGATGTTGCAGGTTGGAGCTATTTTTCTCGACTTCAATACATTGAGCAGTGGTAATTTGGTTTGACCATGTTAACGGTTGAATTTCGATGCGTTGTAGATAAGTCGCTGTTAAACAGAAGCTTGCACTGGGTCGAGCAAATCTCCAATTGCCCTCAAAGTTGGCCGAATGAGATTTTAGCGACCATTTCTCAACCGACAACTTCTGAATGTTCTGTCACTATTGTTTCATCAGCTCCGTCCCTGTTTCGAGCTACTCAGGTTAGTGGGGATACGAGACGAGCGGGAACAGGATGGCTGGCATAGGAAAACTGCACTGCTATGTAACAGGAAGTCTGACATGGCAATGAAAGCGTGCGACTGAGCAGAGTCAATAAGAATGGACCAAATGCAAAACCAATCAGATACAGACAACGATAGGTGAGAGATAGCCTTAGCGATAGACTGAAATGGGGTTCGTCAGCATTAATAAATGCTCTATACGGCCAGACGGACTAACAATATGATGCGTTGAAACTAATGTTAGTGAATAAGCACACCATAACAAAGGTATGCAGTATTGATCATTGTATGAATGCACTTGAATTTTACCGCTCCAATAGCAGTATTCACGATGATGGTATTTTTAACTGCTTCAACACTGGAATCCTTCCGACAGGTAGCCATTAACCAAACTTCACCCACACACATCACCCTGGCAAAGCTGATTTGGACCTGTCTACTGAACGCCAAAGGTTATACTCAAGATGATGGTTTTCGCAAACGACCGGCGGGCAGATTGCAATCCTCCCGGTCAACAGTTAAGGGATAGTTTCTTATCGATTAGTAGTCAGTTTTCCATATACCGAGCGGCAGCAAACCCAATTCAACAAATATGGTCAAGTTCATCAAAACAATTGCAACGATTTCCTAGCCACCGTGATAAGCGCTGTTCGTGAGGGTCATTTCTGTAGTCGGGAACGCTACTGTAAGTCAGTGCTATCTAAATAGGGCCATCCCAATGAGGAACGAAACATATCGTGGCTCAAAGTGTTGAGAGTGCACAACGACAAAAATTCCCCACTTTGGATGCGGCCCCAATGATTGGAGTGATTGGGATTCCCTTCAGAGTTAAATGTTATAAATTGAACAGGTGTGTCACAATCCAACCAATCATCCGGCGTTCTAATACTTTAGGGCTGAGCTATCAACCGTTGTGTAGGTTTCTAGTCGTGAATTTCAGTGAATTGTTGAGCAAGATATCTGCTGGCAACCATTACAAGAGGCACTCCACTCCCAGGTGCGGCTAACTCCGCCTGAAATACCCAAAATGATGGTGCAAGTTTGAAAGCAAACAGAAGGAGAAATTTACCCACTCACTATGAATTTGTGCACTGACTTACCCCACGAGGTGAAGCTCTCCTCGGTGTTATTCCCGACACATCGATGTGCATCCGTACGATTGACCTCCCAACCATCTGCACAGGCGCATTCGTATGGCAGAGTGTAGGCCGGGTAAGACCGCAGTGGAACCGGTATGCATAGCTGTTCACACATGTATCCCGGACATCGATCCGTGAAGGGCGGTCGCAGCAAGTCATGTTGAAGGCGAAAAATATGGGGACTGGAGATGTTGAACATAGGCTCAACATACCTTCCTGCGGTAAGGCTGAGGGAAAATGCATATATAAAGCACCTCACAAAGCCTGGGATTTGGTTGAAGGTTGTTGACAGCTTTGGTTGTAAGCGACAACTTCCCTTGGGGCTCGATTGACGTGTAAATCCTCCCAAGCAAGGAAGCCGAGACGTTAACCAGGATGCTATGTACATAAAAGCCAAACTACAACCTGTATATACCTAGACAATGCCGCTCAGTTTTGAAACAACCGGTCCTCATAATGTCTAAAAGTATGCAAGTTGGACTCGCCACCGTCCATCAAATGTCTCACACTACATGGTTCACAATCGGACTACAACCTTTCTTTTATTAAATTCGATAAACCTTGCATCTTTAGTTTGCTATACAGTGTATGAAAGGAAAAGCGATAGGCCGGGCTCTTGGGATGGTTTCGTGCCTCAGTCAAACGGAAGTGGTAGGAGAAATATGGAGTTGTGTACCCCTGGGACGGGGGGGGGTGATTCAAGTCTGAGGTGTGTAGGGCGTCTGGACAGTTTGTACAGAGTGAACGGTTTTCACAGTGTGAGATTAAGTGAATCCATGGTAACGTCGATATGAGACACCATGAGTGATGATGGGTAAGCCGGCGTTCACCAAATGGGGCAAGCGTTTGGTTTGGGCATCCAGAGTAAGATCCAGACATGGGTTTGGTAAATTGCATAATAGTTACGTCAGGTGCCATGGGGCCATGGGAAATCGAGAGTAGGAATAAATAGATGGTAGCAGTCCAGAGATAAGTCACGTTGTCCATCTTGCGAATTGTGTGACACATATGTCGATCGATATTGCACCAAATGTGGGGTAAGAGTCTAGTGATAAATCGCGTTATCTATCTTGCGAACTGCGCGGTAAATTTACTGCCAACAATGGTAACGATGCTACTACTGTCAGTGCTTCAGTAATCAACATGTTAGTTCCCCGGCCAGTCGTCGGAGATGGCACTGGGTGGAGAGTCGCGTTCGCTTGGTTGCTAGCACGACCTCTGTTTAGGTAGACTACCATGGCTTAGCCACGGGAAAGGAGCTTTCACCCAATGGAGTCTTAAGGTGTAAACTGTGTTTCACTAAGGAGCACCGGATGACGCTACGACGAACAACATCTACTGCAGCACACGACTTGATCTCATTGCCGAAGGACATGTCGCTCAGAGTTGGGAGTCACGGCAATCAAGTGTTAAAGCAAAAGTTTCCACTTAAACACCGCTGGGATAGCCATTTTATACGTGTATCAGAAATGTTCCTAAGGAACAACGCTAAACAAGTTATGATGACCGATCTGAGATAAATCAAAATATTGAGAATGCCAAAACGAACCGTTAAATTTGTTGGCTCTCATGTAGTGATTCTTCTTACGGTCTGTCCAATAGACCCAGTCCTCGAACACAGCAATATCAACTGGATGCAAGGAGTCAGACTGGAGTACAGTGCGTCGGTGTCTGGTACGCAGGTGGTAAGCTTCCACTGAGCCTCGTTCGCCGTCTGTCCAAAATAATTCATTCCGGATGAAATCCAGTGCCAAGGAGGTCGGCGAGCTGAGGTTCGACTGGACCAAAGATCGACGATTCTTGTGATGGAAGACGTCAAATGGCAACGAATTACTATTAGTGCTCAATCCAAACAGTATCAATGTGTCAAAAAATAAATTAAGCAAACTCTTAGGGTATGACGCCAATTTCTTATCGGAAAACTGGCAGATATGTTGACCCAGATCGTGTAGTGTTCTAAAACGATATAGTGAGCATGATGGAAAAAGCATCATTAGTCGCATACAAAACGAGCGAAAATAATGGAGTAAAACTGTAGTTATTATAACAGAAATTCAGCTTTCGTAATTCAAAAGCATGTGCATCTTGCTGTCCGGTATTAAGGTGTCGTATGTTCGGGGTGTTTGACAACCCTCGTGAGTCAACATTTCACAGAATGAAATGACTGAGACAGAGAAAACACAGCAAACCCGAAAGTGGCTTTGTTATAATCGAGTGAACGCCGCCTCTGAGATAATTGCGTAATTGCCTGATAAGATTGCCGCTGGCACGGTTGGAGCACGCCTATGATGACGGCTTGTAACGCTGGCCACTCGAACGGAGTTGCGCTGACCTGATGACGCTAGCTTAGCCGGTGAGACGGAAAATTGAGCGAGCGTGTGAACGATCCTAGCCGCACGTGTTCGGATAGACGCCGAGCGCTCGGAACGGACGCACACGAAAGGTGGTTACGGTAGACGCGCGCTAATGACTTAGACGCGAAGGCTGGCCAGCTAACGACTCACACGCAATCACGTGACCCGACCGACTCCCAACTGAGGCGAAGAGAAAGAAAAGGCAAGTGGTCCTCTGTAGGCTCTTTTACGACCAACAATGGGTGATCACAGACGATGCTATGGGTTATTAAGTAAGGGAAAATTTCTACCATGACGAGGTGGTAGTTTGTAATAGGCCGTTATCAAAAGGGGCGGTGTTGGGCCGCGTCTCGGATTGGCTGAGCTCTGCTGCGTTGTGGGGAGGAATTGGACCCCCTTCCCACAGCCATTCTGCCGGGGTTTCTGGCGCGTTTTTGCGGGGATTTTTGAGGAGCCCGCAACACCTCCTTTTGAAGAGAAAACGTACCGCTTCTGACGAGGGTTGACCTGGAGGGATTTCGGCGACCTCCAGATTCTCTCTGTTCGTCGGCAAGGCGGGTTCTCGAGACGCGGCGTCGATTGAACGGCTTTGACCGTGCTCTGCCATTGTGTGGCCAATCCGAAAGTATCCAGCAAGATGTGCAGCGGCAGGCGCGCGGGATGGCTGGCTGTCATGGAGGTTTCTTCCTGGCGCGGACGAAGTTGATTGCGATGGCGAACCCAGGTGTCATCGCCCACGAGACATCATGCATATGTCACCTCGCCTGGCCGTCACTGTTGCTTTGATCCAGCGAGGATGACCTCCTCGGTAATCGCGAGCGTAAACTGGAGTTCCAACGACGAATTCTTTGTGCTTGCTGTAGGCACCAGATTGACTAGGTGGCTTCTCAGTCGGGATGAGCGCTTCGTTGGTGGTGCGTAGTTTACGGCCCATCAATGCTTCAGACGGTGACTGGCATCTTGGCGTAGCTGGATTCGGTGTGGACCGGCACGAGAGCAGGAAGGCATGAAGACACTCATCCACAGTCCCCTCCCCGCGAGATTTCAAAAGCGCTCTCTTGAAGGTGTCGACAATTCGCTTCCCTTGACCAATGGATTGGGGATGGTAAGGCGGCGAGCGGAGGCGTTCGATGCAGTGTCGGCGACAAAAGTGTTCGAAGATGGAAGACTTAAACTGGGAACCGTTGTCGGACACCAAAACCTCGGGAAGGCCATGCTGACTGAAGATACATTGGAGACAAGCCAGAGTGGCGGATGCGCTTGGTGGGTTGAAGGCGACCACTTCCGGCCATTTGGAATCGGCGTCGACCACGACCAGATAGGAAGTGCCATCGATGGGACCAGCGTAATTGATGTGCACTCGAGACCACGGTTTTGCTGGCGGATGCCAAGGAACTGATGATTGGTGTGGTGGCATCTTTGAGGCTTGTTGAGAATGTTGGAACACGGGGGCGGATTGACTGGCTTTTTCGTCATTTCGGTCGTTTGGTACTGTCGGTGAATGTACCACGTTGCAGCTGGCCCGAAGAGGAAGATCGGCCAAGCCAAGGGTTTCGAGCCAGTCGAGACCAAGCACGTTGAGCTTCGCCTTTGTGGTGTAGCAGATCGCTTTGAACGTGGCGCCCCGGAAGGAGACGGAGCAGTGCAGCTGCCCAGTTAACTGCACGCGACCACCACAGGCGCTGGTGGCAGGTTGGGAGGTCGGTTCGAATGCTGGCTTGCGAAGGGATCGCCAGAGATCCTCGGAGAAGATCATGATGTCCGACGCAGTGTCCAACTGCAATCGAACCGACTGACCATTGATCAAGTCGTCGACGAATTTTCTCCGATGCGCAGCGTTGATTTGGAACGTGGCCAGCAAGCTCAGGGAGCTGCCAACCGGACCAGGTTTGGGTGTGCGTCGAGGTCGGGACCTCTTCTTTGGATCGCGGGTGGGGGCCAGCCCAATTTTGCCCCCTTGGGAGATGGAGGATGGTAGTAACCATCCAGCTGCCCCACCCTGCCACAACATTGACGACGATGCTGGCGGAACTTGCAGTCGCGGTGGAAATGCCAGGCACCACAGAATCGGCACGCGTAGGGTGGGGACTTTGCTCGGTCTGATTGGGTGGGGCGGGGGAACGATTACGCCCTCAGTGCTGTGACTGCCTGGACCATACCAGGCAGTCACAGCGGCGTTCTGGATCATGGCAGAATCGTGCTTCAGGTTGAGCAGCGTTTGACACTCCTCGGCCAGGTTCTGGAGTGTGACTGAGCTATCCAGTTGTAGCTTGGACAGGAGGCGCGTCTGAATATCTGTATCGTGTGGAGATTGGAGGCCAGTGACGAAAACCAGGCATTTGAATTGGTCCTCGGTGAGTGAGCCAAGTTGAAAAGGTTGACATTCACGGTTGACCTTGCCCGCGTACGTGATAAAATCGTCGGCATCACCTTTGGCCAGATGCAGACACTGATAACGAGCAAGGAACAGAGAGGACTGCTCGCCAAAAATCTGGGACAACGTTCGGTTCGTTTCGTCAAATGTAACGTCGCGCGGGTTCCACGGTAAGATGAAGTTGGTGTAGCGTTGGTGTAGCGTTGGTGTTCGAGCGTACCAAGTTTGCGAAGAAGCAGCCGGACCCTCCACGCGTCGTCCTGGCAATCCAAGTCAACGGTGAACAGGTCCTCGTACCGCTTGTACCAAGATTCGAACGTTGCCCAAGCCTTGGTGTCGTACAGGAATTCGTTGATGCCGCAAACCACGTGGTCCACTGACTGAGAAGTAGCGCCAGAAACCCCGGCAGAATGGCTGTGGAAAGCGAGGCTCAATTCCTCCCCACAACGCAGCAGAGCTCAGCCAATCCGAGACGCGGCCCAACTACGCCCCTTTTGACAATGGCCTTTTACAAACTACCACCTCGTCATGGTAGAAATTTTCCCTTACTTAATAACCCATAGCATCGTCTGTGATCACCCATTGTTGGTCGTAAAAGAGCCTACAGAGGACCACTTGCCTTTTCTTTCTCTTCGCCTCAGTTGGGAGTCGGTCGGGTCACGTGATTGCGTGTGAGTCGTTAGCTGGCCAGCCTTCGCGTCTAAGTCATTAGCGCGCGTCTACCGTAACCTCCTCTCGTGTGCGTCCGTTCCGAGGGCTCAGCGTCTATCCGAACACGTGCGGCTAGGATCGTTCACACGCTCGCTCAATTTTCCGTCTCACCGGCTAAGCTAGCGTCATCAGGTCAGCGCAACTCCGTTCGAGTGGCCAGCGTTACAAGCCGTCATCATAGGCGTGCTCCAACCGTGCCAGCGGCAATCTTATCAGGCAATTACGCAATTATCTCAGAGGCGGCGTTCACTCGATTATAACAAAGCCACTTTCGGGTTTGCTGTGTTTTCTCTGTCTCAGTCATTTCATTCTGTGAAATGTTGACTCACGAGGGTTGTCAAACACCCCGAACATACGACACCTTAATACCGGACAGCAAGATGCACATGCTTTTGAATTACGAAAGCTGAATTTCTGTTATAATAACTACAGTTTTACTCCATTATTTTCGCTCGTTTTGTATGCGACTAATGATGCTTTTTCCATCATGCTCACTATATCGTTTTAGAACACTACACGATCTGGGTCAACATATCTGCCAGTTTTCCGATAAGAAATTGGCGTCATACCCTAAGAGTTTGCTTAATTTATTTTTTTGACACATAGATACTGTTATGGATTGAGCACTAATAGTAATACGTTGCCATTTGTCCCGTCTGCCATCACTAGAATCTTCGTCGATCTTTGGTCAGTCGAACCTCAGCTCGCCGACCTCCTTGGCACCTGATTTCATCCGGACTGAATATTTTGGACAGACGGCGAACGAGCTCATGTGGAGCATTACCACGCTGCGTACCAGACACCGACGCACTGTACTCAGTCTGACTCCTTGCATCCAGTTGTATATAGCCTGTGTTCGAGGACAGGGTCTATTGGACAGACCGTACAGGATGAATCACTACATGAGGAGCCAACAAATTTAACGGTTCGTTTTTGGCCATTCTCAATATTTTGATTTATCTCAGATCGGTACATCATACTTGTTTAGCGTTGTTCCTTATGAACGTTTCTGATACACATCTAAAATGACTACCTCAGCGGTGTTTAAGTGGAAACTTTTGGTTTAACATACTTGATTCCCGTGACTCCCAACCCTGCGCGACATGTGCTTCGGCAATGAGACCAAGTCGTGTGCTGCAGTAGATGTTGTTCGTCGTGGCGTCATCCGATGCTCCTCAGTGAAACACAGTTTACACCTTAAGACTCCATCGGGTGAAAGCTCCTTTCCCGTGGCTAAGCCATGGTTGTCTACCTAAACAGAGTTCGTGCTAGCAACCAAGCGAACGAGACTCTCCACCCAGTGCCATCTCCGACAACTGGTCGGGGAACTAACATGTACATTACTGAAGCAATGACAGTGGTAGCATCGTCACCATTGTTAGCAGTAAATTTCCTGCGCAGTTCGCAAGATAGATAACGCGATTTATCACTAGACTCTTACCCCACATTTGGTGCAATATCGATCGATATATGTGTCACACAATCCGCAAGATGGACAACGTGACTTATCTCTGGACTGCTACCATCTATTTATTCCTACTCTCGATTTCCCATG